TACTTCACCTGCTCCTTCTGGTCAAACAGTGAGCTTTGTGCAGGGGATTCCAATCTCTATGGCCCTTAGCTCAGGAAGTGGTGACCTCTCCAAGGCAGGTGCATCCCTGGCCTGTCTGGCACCTCTGCTGTATACCACTCCCAGCCCCCTTATCTACTTTGGTTCTGGGTCCTCTGGAGCATCAGAAAGAAAGGAAGGAAGAGGAAGGAGGAAGAGACTGGTGTGGGGTTCTAAGACAAGAGCCTCAGAAGCCATGCAGGCCATGGGAGCTGAGGAGACGGGTGTCTACAGCCACTCGCAGTTCCCAGTGCTCCTACCGCGAGCACACCTTAGAGTACCAGCTCTCATGTGCTGCTGGCGTACAGAACCCCGGCCTGATCCCATGAGTGGGAAGTCACTCCCTTACTCTCCTGTTTAAACTCTCTCTCACTGATGACTCCACGCATGCACTATCTCTATCCTGTCCCTGGCCTCTTCTGTCTATGTAGCTCTTTCTGGGCAGCCTTCTGAAGGTGCATGAGCCTGTGCTGTCTTCGTCCCCACACCCCTAAAGCCCCTGCAGGTGTCCCCACCCCCTATCTCCCCATCACACACCTTATAACTCCAGACTGTCCTCCAGGCTTGTCCCTTTCTGTCATGCTCTATGTGAAATTATTCCCTTCTGTCCCCACGTTTAGACCTTTGGCTCTTCCTCTCTCCGCAAAGCCATCCTGGAGTGTGACCAAGGCCCCAGCTGTGACACCCTCCTGACTGTGATGTTTGCTGTCCCATTAGGAGGTCCCTGACTCAGGGCTGAGGGTGTAGATGTTGTGTTTAGCTCAGGGACCTTTCAAGTCTCCATGGGCTAGTGTGCACCACTACTAGGGTGACGATTCAGCCCACCGCCTACGGCCTACAGCACATAACCCACACACAGTCCACAGCCCACAGCCCATAACCCACACACAGTCCACAGCCCACAGCCCATAACCCACACACAATCTATAGCCCACAACTAGCAGCCTCCCTGCTCAACTCTGGACCAATGATCTCGATAGTAGAGGCCCAGTCTGAGCTGTGTATAGGATGCAAATTCGATCCTTGTGCTCTGTTGTCTCCACTCCTGTCTGGAAAAATGGTCCTGTTGCCCAGCTAAGGTTACTCCCAGCAGGGTTTTGATGGCCAGAGGCAGATCTCTCTCCTTGTCTCCTTTTGTGTGTGTATGTGTGTGTTGTATGTGTGCTGTGTATCTGCTACTTTGTGTTCTTGTGTCTGCCCATCTTTCTAGCCTAGAATCTGGTGTCAATTCTCCAAAGGTATATCCTTCATCCACTGCTGTTTTAAGCAGGGCAATTCCATGTGGTCTTTGCTCAGGAGTGACTTTGCTTTGCTCCTAGGCCAGCACAGTCCCTTAAGGAGGGGACCTAAAGATGGGGATCCAGATACCCCAAGATGTAATCTGTTTCCTCAGTCTCCTGCATGAGCTCATCACATGGGAGAAGCAACTAGATACAGGGAGCCAAGCTTTTGTAGCCAATTTGGGAAAGGCTGTAGCTGGTCTCTCGCTGACCTGAGAGAGGCTGGCAGACAGGAACCAAGTGCCATGTGTAAACTTCAGGCTTCTAGGACAGAAGGGACCAGCAGCCACGGTCAGGACACATCAGAAGACTCCTGGCCCTGGTCAGCTCCGGACCTCCTGGTACTAGTTCTTCTGTGATCCCAGGTCTTCATCTCTGTCCTTTCTCATCCAGAATAGGACTCTATAGACACTGGCTGCCCTAGGGCTTATGAGTCTGGCTCTTGTCTCCAAATGTACAGAGACATTTGTAGGGAACAGAGGGAAACTGAGGACACGGTGGCCCTGGGTGAAAGGAAGGCAGCTGTACTGTGTTCCTGCCCCAGGACCATCGTCTGGGCTTCGGTCCTCTCTGGCCTCTGAGTCCATTGGCATCAGCTATCCAGATCACTGAGTTATCTTATACCAAGCAGGTTTCCACAGTGTCTCTGGTCCTTCAGGAAGATATATCCAGGGTTTAGCAGAGTCGCTGCCCAAGCTGTAGCCTACAACAAACAGGAGGAGATGAAGAAAGGCCATGCC